AGATTATCCTTCTTTATTCCTTGTTTGGTTTTTGTGTTGCGTGTTGCTTAGTTCTCATGTGGTGCCTATCCGATCAATCTTGTGAATCAAGAAACCAAAGTATCCTTTTATTTATATCCGCTTCATCTCTCTTTCTTCCACCAAATTCCGCATCTTTCTATTTCTTTATTTCCTGTGGTTTGTGAGTTTCCGAATCCTTCGGTTGCGCTCGCATCACCACTTGACCTAAAAGGGCCTCTTGATATAGTCATTAGAATCAGTCCCCCCAAATGAGGTAATCGAATCAAGTCTCATCACAGGGCCTCCGAATTCAGCCATTCTCTATCCAATCAATTTGTCATCCTAGGGGTGTGTTTGTTTGGGGGTTTGGATTTTGAATTGAGATTTGAATAGTAAAAATTTTAAATTTGAATAGTTGTATGATGTGATATAAATAGGTATTGATGTGATATTTTGAATTTAAAATTGATTTTTAGTATAATATAAAAAATGAAAAATATGTGTTTGATTTGATATTTTTAGGGAGAAAAAATTGAATGAATAGTAAAAATTAAATCCAATCCTCCGGACAAACACACCCTAAAATACCCAACAAGATAAACCATCCGAATTAAGGGACCCAAATCAACGACTTCAGCCTACCTGCACGCAATCAAACCTTTATATGCATGTGTAATCAATTTGTACAATTAAAAAGTTTTTATGTAGAAATTCGAATTTGCACAATATAGCCTGCGTATGAATCCTAGCTAGTGTATATATATGCATGCATATGAGTCATGTAAACAAGATGAGAGAAAGTACATACACAGGGAGATAGAGACAAAGAAGTAAGATTTTGGGCTTTTCTTACATTTGCATTAATAGCTATATTTGAAGACATCAAACCGACTAATTGTTCAACCCATTGTTGCTCCAATCATAAAGGTATTTGATACATCCACGTATAGTATGTATGTATACAACGTAGTCGATACATAACAAACATTAAACAGTTTACTTTTTTTGGTAACGTTAAAATCCATAGAGTACAGTTGTTAACTATGATAATAAAGAAAGTCAAACAAATTCTGATAATGCATGAGACGTCAGAATTTTAAGCAGTCACGAGTTCACCTAAACAACTAGATAATCATTATTTTTATCATGTGTGATAATTTTATATAATTTTTTTTACTTTCGTTACAAATATTTTACTAGTCTTTCTAATTTAGGGGTTTTTTTAGTAATTGTTTTTGTAATAAATTATGTTTGATTCGGATTTCAAGTCAATCAATGCTTATATCAATAAAAATATATTATTTTTTAATAAAATATCAATACTATTTAAAATAAAAATTAAATACTCCCTCTGTCTCACTTACGGTGTCTATATTTCTATTTTCATCTGTCCCACTTATTATTCACTTTTTTTTTAAAAAAAAGAATTATATACTTTAATCTCGTTTTAAATTTTTTAGTTTATAATTTTTTTTAAATTTTAATGAAACTAATTAGTTGTCTTAATTTTAATATAAAATTATTTTTATTATAGGATAATTATTTTTATTAATACATTCTTAATTATTAACTAATTATATCCATTCTAAATTCTTTTGTCTACCGTAAATAGGACATCCGGGACGGGACAGAGGGAGTAAAAAATAAACAAACTTTTAATTTTTTTGTTATTTAAATATAAAATTTTATTAAATAAAATTAATATTCTCTTTGTCCTTGTTTAAGAGAATATCCAACTCATAGTGATTTTTGCCAGGTTAAAAAAGACTTTCCAACCGATCAACCTTGTAAAATTGGAGATGAGGGTGACAGTCTTTTTTTTCTTTTTTCTTTTCATTATAAATTAA